TCATCTGGGGGGTCTTGAAGCCCCCATATGAACCAAATAGAAAAGTTCGTATATCTGAAAACTTTGAAGCTGGAACTTTGAAATTCATGTGAACATTTAGAGCATAACGGGCGGACTTTCAATGGGTGGCTTGGCACAACATATATGAATTAAATACAAAATTTCGTGCATCTTGGAAACTCTTATATTATTAAAATTTTCTATAGATAGATAGAAATTGGCGATAGATAGAAACTGGCGAACTTGCAATAATTTGCTTGACATCTCTCATATGTAACATATTATAAATCTGGAAAACTATTGTAGTTAGAATCTTCAAAATCGTTAAGTGGGATTTTTATTTATACATATTCCTTTTAGGGTAGCAAAGCACACTGGGTATAGCTAGTTTTATATATAAAAACTAAGTGGGTTAAAAAATATATAGCAATTTGTGCTAAATCTTCTAATGCTTCAAAGGCAAATAGCTTTGACAAGATAGAACAAGACAATTTTTAAATAGATTTTTAGATATTTGAAAAGAACTGAAAGCAAATAAATTATTAATACAGAGTAACAAATTATATAGAAGACGAATTCGTCTAAGGGATTTGAACTAAAATTTTATAGGGTTTGCGAAAATTTTACATCTCGTAAAGGTCCTAAGCTTTACTAAGGAGAGAAAGGTTACTCCCTAATAGTATTTCTTAAAATTTTCCCGGAATTCAAATACATATTTGAAACACATTATAATACTTTTTTACAATTTTGTCACCATTAATAATCCTGTGTGTATGTGTGTGTTATTTTTCCCTGAACAAGTATATCAATCTGTTTAACAGTTCCCTGACATATAACAAATTTTAATAATAATCTTAAACACTACAAACCAAAGCTAATTATGGCAAAAAAAAAAACAATACAAAAACTCTTTGACAGGAATTTATGTTGGCAACTCCAAAGAATTAACTGCACTAACGAACGCCCCAATACGATTGCCACAATTTCAACGGCATGCCTCGATTTTGTTATGTTATTACGTGTTGTGATTTATATACATTTCCGTTTCGTTGCAAATTCAAATGAAACGATGAATTTGCAAGCGCCAAATAAGTGGGTGCATAATTTTCTTCAGCACTCCATGGATGAAAACATTGCTTCCAAGTGTAAGTAAGAAAAAAAATTATTTGGAATACAAATTAATTACAACACAATCATGCCACATATGCTAAAACAGCAAAAGGCCTTAAGACTCAACTCAACAAAATATTTCCGGGAACAGAGAACATAATGCTGGACAGACAGACAGACATGACGTACACATGATCAAGTAAGAAATAATAATACGATCCAATTAGTTTATATGATTAACTAATTTCCCACATAAGAACAGCAGCAAAAGACTCCACTTGCTACAGAAAAAAAGAAACAACGATTTACCAAAAAAAATTCCTTAAAGATCAGTACTAAAGAGCTATAAATCATGATGACTACCCAACAACAAGACAAAAACCAAAAAAAAAAAACTCAAGTAATGGGGATTTTTACGATCAGCAGAGCAATAGTTTAAGGGCGATCACCACAACAACAACAAAAAGTATATTATGATGACGATTGAAATGTGGGCCTAAAAAAATGAATTATGCGCTTGTTTAAAGCGCACACTGTTTTTAAATCTCAAAATTATAATTGAGAGACAATATTTTCATGCAGAAGGTTGCTGCGATCAGAGTTGTTTAAAGATTATGTGTTAAATTTTATATAGAGATTTTTGTGATTTTGATTTTTTTCTATAAATTCAAGAGGCGAGGTTACATTATTATGACACTTTATGTATGTGTAAAAAGATTTATAGACATTTAAGATATTTGAGAAAATATACACAAAAAATTTAAATAAATTCTGGAATTTTTTTTTAGTTTATAATAAAAAAATATTTATATAAAATCTTTAAAAAAAGGTGGTGTTTTTTTGAAAAGAATATTTTAAAACATGCTTATGTAATAAAATCATTAACTAATATTTACTAATTAAATAATAAATATTGGAAAAAGAAAATAAATTTGATGTTTTTATGGTTATGTTTTAATAAACTCTTAAATATGATTTATTGTCATAAAAGAATAGGGCGTCAGTTCATTATTAAGGCGACAATAATAAAAATCATAATGAAAAAAGGCGTTATAATTAAAATATGCATAAAAACTTTTTGAGAAGTTTGTCTTAATAAGGAAAATTTATCGTTTATTTTGATTTTTAACAAAAAAAATTATCGATTTTTATATAAAAACAAAAAATTTTTATACTAAATTTTTCGATTTTTGATTTTCTTTTAAAATGTTTAATTGTTAACTATTATTTTCAATAGAGAAATTAGCGATAACTTTAAATTATCGTTAAATTTAACTCTTATAGAAAATGTATCGATACATTTTTTAAATTTTCAAAGAAAATTAGTCCATAACTTTCACTTTTTTTGATAAAAATGTCGTAGATATCTTTGATTTTCTCTAAAAAAAATATCGATAACTTTAATTTAGCAGAAATTTTCTACAGAAATTTTATCGTTAAGATATTTTTACTCTACACCGCTATAGTGGGAGGGTATTATACGTTTGTGCTGATGTTTGTAACGCATAAAAATATTGGTCCTAATACCGATCGACTCAGAATTACTTTCGTTTAAAGCATGTCCGTCGGTCCGTCTGGCTGTCCATGTAAACCTTGTGCTCAAGCTACAGGCCACAATTTTCAAGATATTTTGATATTTGGACCATACAAGTTTTTTGCCACAAGGACGATGGCTATTAAAAATGGTTGAAATCGGTCCATTATTTCACCTAGGCCCCATACAACCTTACCTTCAGATTTAGGGTTTTTAACTCAACTACGTCAAATATACTACTATCTCCCCCATACAAACCCCCTCTTTACTTATAACCATTAGTATCGCAATGAAATTCAGCACAACTAACATTTATATAAAATTACATCCCTCTTCCCATTTTGTTGAGGATCGGCCCATATTAGACCCAAACTCCCATATAAAGCCTCTTTTAGAAATTTAGTTTTTCATCAATAAGTAACCCATGGTGTAGGGTATCATGTAGTCGGCCATGTCCGACTATACTTTCCTACTTGTTTTTTATATAGAAAATTTATTGACTACTAAGGAAATGTAACTATAACTTAATTTTTTATAAACAATTTATCGGTGACTTGGATTTTCTATAGAAATTTTATAGATATCATTAATTTTTCATAAACAAAGTATCGATAACTTTGATTTCGATAGCAAATATTACGATAACTTGTATTTTCCATAGAAAATTTATTGAAAAAATATATTTTTATAGAAAACTAAACAAATATATTTATCGATAACTGTATTTTTTTATATTCTGATAGAAAATATATCATAACTTCGATTTTCTACAGAAAGTTTATCGATAACTTCGATATTTCATAGAAAACTTTTCTATATGAAATTTATCGATAACATAATTTTATTGCAGAAAATTTATCAAATATAGAACTATTCTATAAAAAATTTATCGATAACAGAACTTTTCTCTAGAAAATTTGCCGATAATAGAAACTTTCTACAGAAAACATATCGATAATATGATTTTTCATTAACAATTTTTTAAAATAAATTATCGATAACTGCAATTTCTATATTTTGATAGAAATTATGTCTATAAATTCGATTTTCTACACAAAGTTTATCGATAATTTTGATTTTCCATGAAAATTTAAAGTAAATTTATCGATAACATAATTTTTTGCAGAACATTTTTCGATAACTACTATTTTATATAGAAAATTTATCGACAATAGAACTTTTCTATAAAAAACTTGTCGACAATAGAAATTCATGCAGAAAATATATCGATAACATGAATTTTTTCAGAAACTTTATTGATAACTATGATTTTTCATAGAAAATTTATCGATATGATATTTTTTTTAAATTTAAAAAAATATCGATAACAGGAATTTCTATACTTTGATAGAAAATATATCGATAACTTAGATTTTCTACAGCATATTTATCGATAACTTTGATTTTTTTTATATAAAATTTATTGTTATCAGAATCTTTCTACAGAATATTTATCGAGAACAGAACATTTCCATAGAAAAACTATCGATAATACAAATTTTCTTTAGAAAATTCATCGATAAACAAATAAAAAAAAAAAATTATCGATAACAAAAATGTGTGAAATTTTCTATAGAAAATAACACAAATTTTGAATAGAAAATATATCGATAACAGAATTTCTATAGATAATTTATCGATAACTTTAATTTTCTATAAAAAATATATCGACAACTTGAATTATCTCTAGAAAGTTTATCGATAACATGAATTTTCTCTAGAAAATTTATCGATAACTTTAATTTATATTAAAAATTTATTTATAACTTTAACTTTGTGTAGAAAATTTATCGATAACAAAAATGTTCTGGAGAAAATTTGTCGATAACAAAATTTTTAGAGAAAATTTATCGAGAACATTAATTTTCTATAGAAAATGTATCGATAACTTAATTTGTTTTAAGAAATTTTGTCTATAACAAAAATTTTTTATAGAAAATGTATTGATAACAGAAATTTGCTATTGATAATTTATCGATAACATAAACGCTCTAAAGAAAATTTTTCGAAAACAATTTTTTTTGCAGAGAGTTAGTTTATCGATAGCATAACATTAATCTAGAAAATTTGTCGTTAACGGATATATTCTCTTAAAAAATTATCGATAATCGAAATTCGCTTTAAAATTATTAATAACAGCAATTTCCATTAGAAAATGTATCGATATTTTTAATTAATTAATTTTCCTAGGAAAATTTATCGATATCTATAATTTTCTATAAAAAATTACTTAATTAAATTTTGTGTAAAAAATTTATCGATTTTGTGTAAAATAATTAATCGAGATCTTTAATTGTTAATAGAATTATTGTACTTAATGTAAATTAATAAAAAATTATATAAACCTCAAACTTACATGCAATTTCACCAATTCCGGATATTCATTAGCCAACTTGGCTAACTCCTGATAATTGGCCTTAGCCATAGAGACAATCCATTCTTTAGCCTTAGGATGAGCCAATGTTACCTCGGGTAACTCTTTCTCCTCGATTAACTGTAAACCAAAAAAACACAAGAGATAAAAAAATAAGATTATAATAAAACCAGATTATAATAAATCATAAATATAATTAAAACCCCTAGAGAGTATTAAATGTAACATTGTCTTAACACATTAGCGTATTTTTATAATTATCTGGCATTTCTTTTTTTGGTTTTATTTTAATAATAATTTTAATTTATTAGGCCTCTAAAGTAAGACAAAAAACGTAACAACATCTACATACAATTAACATATATGTGAATCCTTTCATATGTCTAGATTTAAGGAGCCACATATGAATACTTTTTCTTTCGTTAGTTAACTAAAGGATGTGAAAAACAACCCTTTACACGTAAAGATTTTTCATGTTTTTCCTTTTATTACAGTATACAGAACATAAACACATACATACGTTTTAAAAAAAGAAAACTCTTGGTAAAGAAAATAAATCCACCAAATACTTAATTAAGTTGTTTTTCGTTTTTGATAAACATAATTCTTTCTAATGAATTTTATTTAATAAGGAAGGAAGATAATTTTTATAACTTTAAAACCTTTTTCAAATGAAAAACGACTTTAAGCTGTATATTTCTAATTTTATAGAAATTTTGTATAGAAAACTTATCGATAAATGAAATTTTCTTCTTCGATAACTTTTATTATTTTTAAATATCTATCTCTTTTTGTATTTAATTCATATGGGAGGTGCCACGCCCCCTATTGCTATTCCGGCCATTTTTCCGTTACACTCTTAGTTTCGTTGCATGACTTGCTTTAACTGTATTTATCTACTTAATAGGTTTTGCGCGAGCACTGGTCGATTATTGCCCTAAATAAGCAGACGTTCAAAGTATGTTGTAATAGCTTTCAATAACGATTTATAAAGAAAAGTTTGGCATGTCTTGCCTCACCCGCTTTATAGTACAGGCCTTGTGATATCGAAAAAGAGGCAAAGGAAATCCTTTGGTCTTTGAGGTGCATATTGGTTTTAACCCTTTAAACAGATTTGATTCGACTTCTTAGAGGACTGTGAGGTTTGCACAGATTCTGCGATTGTATCATAGACCACTTGGGTCCTTACTATATCTCATACTTACGATATGATTTGAAACAATCTGGGTAGGTATACTAATCCACCACTAAAGCTCTCTCTGTTAAAAAATCGGTTCAACATCTGATATGTAAATTCCACTCTTTTTTAAAAGTGCTCACATCAAAATACCATATTAGAAGCCCATTTCATAGCCTTTCTGGATTATAGATAGACCTTTTTGATACTTAAGACCTCCGAGTACACTCATAAAGTTATTTGAAGTTCTTTATATAGGTTGATAAGAGGATATAATTACACCAAATCCGAAGAAATACATCTAGGCCACTATCGGGACTGTTGTTCAGAAACTGTTTCCTGGACGTTATTCCTAAGAATTTTCCAATCAATGTTCGTGAGAGATGTTATATCTGAAATAATAACACTCCTAAGATATTTTCATCTAATTTCGGCAAAAGTCTGACATTGGTGCTCCAGAGTTTCACTCTCCTCTCTACATGCTCTACATTCGTCTGAATCCGCATATACTATTTTATATAGCTGTGTCCATTAACCTGTGTGTCCACTTAGAATAAGTTCTACAATGAGTAAGTCTGAGGTTAGTATAATAAATGATACTAACCTCAAACTTGCTCATTTCGATCAGGCTTCTTTTCTTCGGCTCTCGTTAGATTCACCCCACAGGATCTTCGAGATTCTATCCTCCGTTTCAATATTCCAAGAGGACTTATGGGTTTCGCTCACCCATATTTTTAATTCTGTTCTCGTTGCCTCAACGGTTTTGCGTTCGTCAGGTTAACTACATCGAGTTTCCTTTCCTTTAAAGCTATTAAATCCGACCACTTTCAAGTGGCCTGATAGCCATATGGTGTAAACCTTACCTCTGGGAGAGTATTCGGTTAGAGCTTTCTTACAATCCAATACGGTCTTAGATTTAAAATTATCATCTGATATCGCCCTAATTCCCTTCTTGTTGTCGATAAATATGTTAAGCCCTGTGGTCCCATATTTATTGTAATCCAATTTACGCATTCCGTTATTGCTCAGACATATGTCTGGAAGCTAGTGCTATAATTAGATAAACTGAAGTATATTTATGATTCTGGGTTATCAATATATAGCCCTGGACCAATTTTGCACCCCATATTAAAGCTAAACGTGTAGCAATCGAATCCTAAGCTGGCTATCGATAAATATGTTAAGCCCTGTGGTCCCATATTTATTCTAATCCAATTTACGCATTCCGTTATTGCTCAGACATCTGTCTGGAAGCTAGTGCTATAATTAGGTAAACTGAAGTATATTTATGTTTCTGGGTTTTCAATATAGAACCCTGGGCCCATTTTGTACCGCATATTAAAGCTAAACGTGTAGCTATGGAATCCTAAGGGTATTTGATCCAATATTCCGCTTGCCCAAGGCATCTAGGATCAGTGTTTCAAAGTTTCCAACATTTTCTGTGTCTGGTATGCGATCGGCAGGTCCGATGTCCAGTATACAATGATGACGTGTCCTATACCCACTTTTGGCCAAAAGCCTACAGTTATGAGTCGTTCGGCTGTAAGTGTCAAATATGCTTCGATGGGAAGAATATCTAACAACGTTTCTTTGGTACTAATGGTACTAATGGCACCACTTAAACTTCAACTATCTGTAGTAGTTTGATATTACCCTTTTTCTCCATAGAAGTCCACCATATTATTGAAGTATAAGTTAGAATCGGTCCAATTACACTTTTATATAAATCTTACGAATAAAACATAATTTTCTCTAAAAAATAATTTTAATTATCCAATTACCGCCATGTATTTACATTTATATTTAGGGCATAAAATAGTCAAACTTAATGAACCATATATTTCCCACTTCCTTATTACCACCAAAAAAAAATCTTGTTAATTTTAGCTATTTTTCCTCCTTGTTCCTTTTTTTATTAACAAAAACATGTGTGCTTTTTTATTTATGATAAAAATTATTATTATTTTTTTTTTTCCTATTATAGTCGAGGGGCAACTAATTATTTCGGCATAATGTTAGAATGTGTTCTTAAGAAAACAATGGAACGAATACAAGATATTTTACAAATATTAACCCTCTATTATACGAATAGACACTCATACAACACATACACATACATATATGGAGAGTGTGTAGCTTTTACGTTGTAAATAATTGTAACACCTTTTAGCGGAGTTTACTTAACACACGTTGCTGCAACATACAAAGGATGTTTATAATGGTATCTAGTTGTATGTTTGTGTGAGATACTTTTTCTTTTTCTAGTAACAACAACAATTAGCGCTCTAATAAATAATATTTATATGAGATTAAAACATGTAAGTGTTTGTATTCTCTACAACAATAGATTATTGTAGAGAATGCGAAAACATTGCGCTACGTTGCTGTTGTACAATTGCAATATGAACTAGTAAGATGTTGCACGTGTTGTGTATTTACTATACTTTATCTTTTAACATTTACAATGAATACAATGTTTTTTGACTGCTACTGTTGACGGGGCATGTTGTAAAAAAAAAAAGAAATATTGGATTAAAACATTGTAGTTTGAACTAAAGTTGGTATTTTTTTCTTCGTAGACATAGGCCTACACCGTTTAGCACGTGCGGAAATTTACGCCACTTGACTTTTGCAGTATTGGCTTCCGGTTAAAATTAATAAAAAATGTAACAATGCGAGTTGGATTTAAACACTAAATTATGATACTAATTGTGAGTATGAGAAAAATTATAGCTCAAAAATTAATAATAGCAAATAAACCTGGTGGTTAAAAGTTTCTTTATACATACTTTATCAATTAGGTCATGAAAATATTTCAGAAAATGTAAGTTCTATCAATAAAAGTCTAGGTAAATCTCTAACTGGTTGATCGGAGTAACTAGGTCCACCATATATTGCGCCCTAAAATAATCCATTTTGATGCTTGTCAATGACGTAACTGAACATGATGGTATCTGTATCAAATCAAAACAGCAGCAACAGACTGCTTTATTTATCAATATATTTGGTTTTAAATTAATTATTAATTTTGTATATAAATTAACAATTTTCTTATTAATCAATATAAACTTTAGAAATTAAATTTTAATATTATTCAAACAAAAGAATTGTATACTCAATACAAGAGCTCTAATTACATAACATACGTTTCGTATTAAAATTAATTAATTAATTGAAACATGTTTGAAATCTTTCTAATTTCATTAAGAGTATTTTTTACACAAATTTCGACCAGAACATTATAACAATGCGTTTACAAAATGGCAACAATTTGTTTTAGTATTATTGTTGCTGGTAACATTTTAACAATGAAAAGAAATCTAACAGCGTAACAGAGAATTAAGGGAACAGGTTACAAAATACTAGAGACCTATAAGGCTGAGGTTTTTAAGCAACATTGTCTATGTCTAGATTACTTTGTCAAGGCGTACGACATTTATTTTTTAGGGGAAAGTCTGGAGAACAAGTTCAATAGTCGCGTCGCAACAGCTACAATATTGTGTTTCTCATTTATGAAGAAATTCCCCCAAACATTGTAAGTGATTTCGTGAAATCGACATTTGAAGTACTACAAACATGAAAATGGTTATAACCTTGCAAGCACTGAAAGGCATTTTAGAGATAATTCAAAATCGTTATAATTAGAATCAGATAATTAGAAATCAGCCAATGTATATATAGATATACGTATGTGACAAGATATTTACATTAACAATCTTCTATTTCAACTCTTCAGCACTGCTTATGTTCTATATATTTAAAATCGCTTCAGGTAAAGGAAGTTGCCGTTTGGCAACTTTGGTATTCTACAACAACTTGCAAAAACGTAGGTACGATCGTAACACAGAATACACACATTCGTAAAGCATTGAAACGAAAAGAAATCGCTTCTTCTTTTTCTTATGATTCAGTTTTTTGTTGGAATACCTTTTTTCGACCGTTA